GCCTCCTTCTTACCTCGCACTTTTGGAGCTACTCGGACTTGCAAAGGGTTATGCAAGCAGGACTTAGTTTTGTTGTTGTTGCAATTTGTTTTAAACATCACATTCCTTTTCTTTTTAGACGTCATCAGAGAATCCTGAGGAACAAGGAGGTCTACAAAGAACCTGAGGCAGTGAGCAAACTCCCTTCAACCCTCCTGGCAGAGGGGCAGGCAGCACCACAGGGTCTCCTCTCTGATTCAGCGCCTTCAGGCACAGAAGCAGTGGGAAGGACTAGAGCAGCAAGAAGCCCATTTGACTCCTAAGTAGAACTCCTTAACCTTTGAAGAGGATGCTCAGAACAGTGCCGATAGAGCGCTGAAGCGGAAATCAGACTTTTCTTTTTTTTTTAATCTCTCCCCACTGCAATGTTTGTTCCATGAAGGCAGGGATTTTTCGCATGTCTAGTTCACTGCTTATGCCCTGTGCCTTGAAGAGAACCGGTGTATCAGCTAATTTTTTTGGTTGAATAAACAGTAGTAGATATAGAACCAGATTTACCATCTTCCCAGGCACCCTATGAACAAGTCACTTCGCTTTGTTAGTGCTCAGTTTTCTTAGGACTCAGATTCTCCCACCTGTACCTAGGGAAAGAATCCACCCTGCCTTTTCACACCATCCTAAGAAAACGATAAAGGAATTGGGTTATAAGCAGAAATAGTGCTTGGAAATCTTAAATGAAAGATGACCAGTGTCTCAAGTGATGGGAGAAACAGCTTAATTTGATCTTAATGAACTTTTGCTAACCAGCCCTTGAAGCAGAAGAGCAAGAAGCTCCATGTGCCCCTCCATCTTTCCTTGCCAGGGGGGGAGCTCCTAGCACCGCAAAGAGAATGAAAATTCCAGGGCAGCTTCATTAGCAATAACATTAGCTAGGTTATAACCATTAGCAGTAACCACTAGACTACACGGCCTTGGATCTCTAGACAGTAGGGGCAATCTGAGTCAGAATTCCTTACTTTGAACCCCTGCTCAAGATATCAAATAGGAAAGATTCTTCCACTCACACAGGGAATCAGAAAAGGTCACTTAAGATTAGAACCCATGGGACATGTGGAAAAGAATGAAGTTCGTCTGCTTCAGGCTGCTCTGCAGACACGTACATAGGTCAGGCACTAAGCTTCTGGCACAGAGTCAAGGGGGCGGAGCCCAGCTGGAACCCCAGTTGAAGGTGGGCTCTCTGTGAAAATTCTTCCGGAGTTCAGGGCGTAGCAGGTGCCAGCACTTCTCCCTGAGCTCTGATCTCCTCGAATAAGAGCTCTCCGTGACTGCTAGGCTGGCCTAGCCCCTAACTTATTAGGCAACTGGCAAATAAGAATCTGTAAGCGCTCACATGGCCTCGGCCTCAGCCGCGATGCTCAGCGGCCTGGGAGGTCCCACCTCCAGGCGGGTCAGGGTTAGTCACTTGGCTCAGGGCATTCTGGGTGAGGCATGTTCTCACTGCCTGTTTCTAGCATCTTGCCAGCCTAGTGACGACGGGATGGAAGTTCAAATTCTCATCCCTTCCTGCAGGGGCAAGACATCAGAATACTTCACATAATCATTAAATCATTTTAATTTTTTTCCCTCCTAAAGTCCTGTAACATCTGTTCTACAACTTGACGTGTGAAAGCACTGTCCCACGGGACGGCTGTGATTCCCACCTCGCAGATGAACACACTGAGGTCCAAGGAGACAAAAAGCGATTTGAGGGGGAGGGTAGAGCTCAAGTGGCAGAGCGCATGCTTAGCGTGCATGAGGTCCTGGGCCCAATCCCCAGCACCTCCTCTAAAAATAAATATAATAGACATAATACCCCCCCAAAAAAGTAAATAAAAAAATTTTTAAAGTAATTTGGTCTTTGGCAAGTCAGCGGCCCTGACTGCCTGCTGGCCTGTTCATTGCACTGCACTCCTTCCCTCCAGTCTGCACCTCTTCATCTTCTGACAAATGTCTAGTTAAGCCTTTTAACGGCAGGTGTCTCTGGGGCGCAGAGAATGAGCATCTCCGCTTGGGGGAAATGCTGGCTCTCACACGTGCTCTTTCTCTTTCAGAATCAACCTCATCACACCCTGGACGATGAGGGTGAAGGAGAGCCCTAGACACCCCTGAGAAGCGAGCCGCCCTGCACTTCCCGACACCTCGGCCTGCAGCTGGTCCCCCTAGCAAGCTCCAAAGTGGGGAGCTGTCAGAAACGGAGACCTCATTCCTTAAGCCACCAGACCGTAAACAATGGTCAGACACTGTTTCCCCCGATTTTGTAAAAAAAAAAAAAATCCTTTACTCTTAGAAACTTGCCTGGGTGCTGAAGACGAGATACACCCCTAGACGACGGAGAAAAAGGGGCGCTCCCTCCGCAGGGGCTGAAGTGGGGCGATTTTGAGAATCTGAAAGGAACCCACCCCGTGAATCTCCTCTGCCTTCTCGTGTTGAATCTGGCAGATGCGTGGGAAATAAAGTATGAAAGGAAACAGGAGAAAGGAAAGAGGGGGCAGGGGCCGAGGGCCGAGGGCTGGTGCAGCCGGACCTGCCTGACCACTCTACACTGCGGCCTCCGAGCGGACACAGCTGCTCAGTGGAGCAGACTCTTGTGCCTGCCCTCCCCCCTGGGCTGGGACTTCTGCTCAGAAGTGAATTGGGAGCACTTGCTGCTGCTCTGGTTGGAGTGTCAGCGCCACTGAGGATGTGAAAGCAAAGAAGGGCAAAGCTGGCAGGGGCGGGAGGTGGGGAGGTGGGGTGTGTGCGCATGGGAGCAGGCTGGCCCCGCCTTAGGAAACACTAAACTGAAATGTGAAACCTGCTTCAAGCTCACCCTTCCCCATCCTTACGCCTCCCTGCACAAAACCTGTTCCCTTTTCTCTGATCCGGAGGCTTCCACATCCCAAATAAGGCTCCGTGGCTCCCTATTTGAAGGAGTCGGGGTGGGGGTGGAGTGGGGGTGAGAAGGGAGGGAAATAATATTTGTGGAGCACCTGCAATGAGCCAGGCACCACAGCAGGCCCTTTTGGTGAAAATGCAGAGAGAGATCATATGTGTATACACGCACACACACACGTGCGCATTATCCAGGCAGCAGCCTCCTCTGGCGGGGGATGTGCAGTGGTGGGTCCCTACCTAGAAGCTACTGTCACTATTACATACACTGTTTCACTGAATCTTCACTGACAGCCCTGTAAAGGAGGGCGCCCCGCTTTGCAGTAGGGAAATACGGATTTGGAGAGCCGGGGTCTGTGCCCTAGTCTGAATCCAAAGCCACCATGCCTCGAGTACAAGGACAATCTTATGAGAAACAAAGCTATGGATTGATGAGAAAGCCCACATGTACCTATCTATCTGTTCCTGGCCCATGATCCCTAAAAGCTCAAAAAGAGGACCTCCTTACCTCTTTGAACTTCCGGTTCTGGCAGGTGTAGGGGTAGGTCCACAGCTTATCAGGGGCTGACATTCCCGCTCCATCCCATCCCCGCCCCCACGTGCGCATCCCCCCCAGCCAGAACGCCCTTGGCTCTGGACGGGTGTGATTCCGAACATACCCAATTTCCACCTGAAGATCTCAGGAGTGGG